GAGAAAGGAGTTGTGTATTGAAAAGATATAATGACCTAGAAGAATTTGCCTGCTGTGTTTATAATTACTGAACACATGTTTAACATGAAAGCTGGATTCACTTTCTTAAGGGGTCCTGTAAAGGGAAAAACAATTTGTCAGAAAAGGTTAGATGTGAATCTGTTAATTATTGATGAAGAAAGAATTAGATGTAGATGGAACCCAAACAAACACAGCATTTGATGTCTAATATTTATACTGTTTACATGTCTAAACATCTTATATCATCTATGTATTATAAGTAATGACCTGTTTGATGTAGTGCCAGCTACCATAATTATGTGGAGATGATTAAAATTATCTAGATATCTTATGAAGTAACAATATATATATGAAAGAGAGTTGGTTAACATTTAGTTAGACATTGAAAACATTTTATAAGGATACAAAAATATATCTATAGTACAAGTTTCAAACTTTTTCCACCATAATTTAAAATGAAGCACAAGTTGACAGTTTCTTATTAAAAACCAGAGAATGTGATAATTAATACTATTGATCTTTTATGTTGACATTGTGTTTTCATTATGGACTGCTAATGAAGTTAACATTCAGATAAATATTGACCTTCAGATTTACTCATTTGGTTTGACATGGGGGATCCATAAATAACAACACTTTTAATTTATTTGCCCTGGGTCATACATTAGACATGTGTACCTTGTACTTTAAATTGATTTATTGAAGTCAAGTCCCTGTTTAGAGCCCCAGAAAAAAATAACACATCATGCATGAACCATTTCATGGGAACAACATATTTTTGTGTAAAATGGAAGTAACCTTAGCATCTAATTGAGAAAACGATGTGACTTATTTGATAGAAATGGCATACAATACTAAACATGCTGTCACAGATTTAGGTAAGCATCCTACATTGTGAATTTTTTATGTCCTTTGTTTGAAAGCAAGCATGTGACAAAAGATGTGAATCATTCAATAGTTTGTGGTTTTTGTTTCCAATCTGAAAAACCCAGATTAAATTGATTACCATTTGATTTTTCATTTTACAAAGTAGCAATGACAATACCTTAATATTACACATGTATTTTGTTGTGGTTTTGCTGTTTATTTCTGCATCTATCAGACAGAAATTATAATTTGTCTTTTCTGTCTATATATAGATTCATTCCTCAGGTTGACTCATTCACATTTAACTGAATGACCAGAAGCTCTGGCTTGACCTACCTATTGTATTCATATTATACTTAACTAAACATTCCAAGTACTTAGAAGACATTAGGTACTAATATGTTGGTTGTTTTGTTGGGCAATGCTTTCTCAATTAGGTATACTGCACATATCTTATCATAATATCATATTAAAGGTTTTTTTGCCCTGGCTGGGGTTTGCATCTGTAATGTCCAACAACCAAGGCCTGATATTGCAAGGAGAACACTTATTTGTTATTATCATTAATGAGAAAAGTGCTATCTGTTATGATATTGGTATGGCATGTGATGTAAATTGTTTGGTATTTTTGTGTGGGGGAAGGGAAATGATCTTTATTGTTTCTGGCATTTTTATTTTTGTGCGGTTTTGTTTTGATTTTAGCTTAATTAAATGCTGGTATTTATAGAACTTTTACTCCTATGTTATATTTCGAAAGAGCTTTGGTGGGGTTTGTGTTGCTCAGTCTTTGGTTTTCGATGTTATGTTTTATATAGTATACTGTTGTTTTTTTTTGCCGTAGCATTGTCAGATGTTTGACTCATGGGATCTCTTTCACTTCTCTTTGACTGCCCAAAGACAGATTCTTATATATAGTATGCTGTATCATCAAGCTGCCCCCCCCCCTTTCCCTATCCTACAACTTCACCTTCATATTTTACTGTTTTCTTGGATATTTTCACATGAAATTTCACATTTACTGTATAAGCTGATACACTCAGTGCATATTTAAAGTTCAAAAGAGAAAATATTCCCACAATCACCAGCATAATGGCAGTATGAATGTCACCACTTAATGACTGGGAATTTCATTTTCCAATTTATGTTGACTTGTTGAGCTAATTGTATCAGCTGTTTCTCTCTTTTGTGCAAATAAAATTGAAAAAAATATAAATGACTTCTAGTTAGAAAAAGATTTAGGTTCATATGACTAATCAAGTAGAAATGCATACCAAGTTCAAAATTAGTGATAATTTACCTGTCATAAAATTCATTATAAAATATATCAGGTACATCAAACAAAAAAAATTGTTATTTAAAAAATTTATATATTTTGTGGTTAAATATATATGTTCCCTCTAGTATGTAGTATTTGAAAATTAGATGAAAAATTACCACCAATACATAGGAATGTTAAAAAGGACACAATGTTTTCTTTTGAAATTACTAACAACATTAAAACACTATAATGTGTTACAAATTATCCCAGTTTTCATTCTAACAACTTTTAGGTGGTGAACAATGAAATTTTATATTGATTTTCCATAAATTTCCATACAACAATAGTATCTGGTCCCTACCCTATTGTCTGGAGACCCATTGACCCTAAGGTGTTTGGAGGACCATCAATAAAGCATTTGGTGGTGATTTATGGACGACTATTGATTTTTATCCACCATTTTATGATAGATCTCTAAGCTGAAGCTTTTTGCCTTCAATTAAATCGTCATTGAGAGTCCGCTTTAATTTCCCTTTGTTCTATTGTTTTTATTGCTTGTTTTTGTATTTTTCCATATCTTATATAAAAGACGATAATGACATTGGAGAATTGTTATAGGATGGGTTGTCTATTTTACATTGTTTTAGAAAGACTCAACTTCATGTGTATTTTCATCTATGAATAGTGTAAAAACAAATGGCTAAAAGGAACATGAAGTTGGTTAATCATTATATAAAAAATACCAGTTTGATACATCAACATTTGTTAATGCTTTTACACAAAGTGATGCCAATTTCTAAGTGTTTTAAGTCTCATATACTGGTTTTCCTCTGGCAATTAAAAGATCTCCCTTGTTAACCCAATCGGTAACAAGAATATTATATATAATTTGATGAAGAATTTGTACAGTAAAATTTGTTTACCTAACCATGCTAACTGGTATCTTGTTTATTAGTATTAGTTAACGCTTCTTTTTGAGTTGTTTATAATTTTGTTCCATGGTTAATATATTTTTGATAGTTTTGCTTAATGACGAAGTTAACTTTATTCAAATTATGATCATGGTAAAATCTAATAATAAGTATGTCACGGAATAGAAGTTCCTTCATAATATAAGTTCCAAATGGAAACAATATTCTGGAATATTATTTCCACAGGAATAAATATTATAGTGAATGTTCCTAACGGAATAAATGGTATAGAATATTTGTTCCAACAGGAACAGATATTATGACATTGTTTATAACAAAGTTTCCAGTGGAACTTCTGTTAGGCGGAACAAGTATACGTTGACAAGTATACATGGTATAGTTTTGCTTTAAATGACAAAGTTAACTTTTTTTCTAAGTTCTGTTTAAAATATAATTATTAAAGGACCAGTAATAAGACTCAGTTTTTATAATTCTATTTTTATCCCATTGCTTGATTTAAAAGCAAAAAAAACCTTAAACTTCAATAAGAGAGAACTATAAGACATAATTGTATATATTTATGTAATTATATATAATTTAACTTTGATGTATAGAATAACACAAGAAAACATTTAATATGACATATATTTGTGTAGCTGACAATTTACATTGTTTGTCAATGTCTCTTGGGTATAATGGCCTCCAGAAATATCTGCTTTATATCAAAGTATACAAGGATGGTAATGGGTTATACTCTTTACAATGTGTTAGGAAGTTATTATTTCACTTTTTCCCCAGAAAATATATTAATAATAATGTTCCACACTAATGGATAAAAATGCAACATGTTTGCATAAAAAATTAACTTCCAGCACATAAAAAAATGTACCTCGATTTCCAGACTCAATATAATACATCTGTGCACTTAGACCCTCTTTTCAAACCTCATATATTAGAGTGAAGAAGGTCCTTAAAAAGTCAATGATCAGATAAGAAAAACATATGTTGTCTTGGCACTCAGTCAACTTTGTAGAAAATGTCCTGTAGGAGTAGATCGTTTTATTATGTCAAGTTTTTTTAAAAACTGTTTGAAGAAGGTCTTAAGTCAAAGAAATATAATATATGCTTTATACTTAAAATACAAAAGATTTATTTATATTTCATGAAATTAAATTATCATGGGGTGGTTCAAACAAAGCAAACTCCTACACCAGCGTATTATAGAATTATTTTCATCTGTCTATAAATCCAGTTATATATAAGTCAAGGTGCTGATGAGAGTATGAAATGTAGGTTTACATCCTGGCTTGTATTTGCAGAAAGCAAGCAAAGGTAAAACATGGTTTCTTTATACCAGCTGTTTACTTTTACTTGTTTATTTAGGTTGTTTATTTAATGTAAACATCACTTGTACTTTGTTGGTAAAAAGGCAAATAGGTGGCCAACAAATCTATATTAAACCGTGCCTTTGTGCAGAATAATGGTCTAATTGTACCATTTATAAACAGTGAAATGTTTTTTTTAGACATTAAGAATGAAGTCAATTTTTTAAGGAAAGGATGCCCCATTATACTTTTAAGGTCCAGTTGCAAGGAAACTATGGATCATTTGATTGATTGATTGTTGGTTACTAAACGTCCAGTGGCAATTATTTCATGCATGTTCAGGACAAGAACAAATTAACAATAAATACAATAGGTTTGTCCGGTAATAGAGGTCAACTGGATTGCAGGTTGGGGAAATTTGGACTGTCAGTGGAAAATGAGGGTATATTGGATAGGGACAGAAAATGGATCATTTGATGTGTAAAGTCTCATTAAGAAGGAAACAAAAAGCCAGCTAGTGCAAATTGATCTTTCTTTGATCACTGTTTGCTAATAAGGCTGTTTTCTTCACAGTTGTTTTTGAATTTATATCAAAAATCATCTTTTTTATATTTTCAGGTTCCAGTAGTACTCCAGATTTGACTGAAACCGAAGTGATTATCATTGGGTGTGTGTGTGCAGCTATATTGGTAGCACTTTTAACTGTACTAGTGTGTATTATTTGTCGAAGAAGAAAATTAGGTACGATCCCTATCCCATACTACATGTACTATCTATATCATACCCAGTTTTACATTCGTTTTTGCCGTTTCAGTAAGAAAATTATTCAATTTCAAACTGGAAACAGTTAATTTCTTTGTATTTGACATCTCCTTTTATTCATGCATACATACAGGAAGAAACAAAATGTGCATCCCCAACTTTAAGAAATCAAGGGAACGATGTAATGGTCCTTTGTTCAGATTTCTCCATCTTACATATTGTATATAAAAAGAATGTACGGGATACTAAAGTTATTAAATGTCCCAAATGATTTTTGAGCATCATATCAGAAGCATCTACTGGTATACATCTCAATAATAATCTGAATAACATCAACATGAGCAAGAATTCCAAAAATACATCTGTTTTTTGTTTGTTTTTTTATGGATTGCTGTCTTGTAGGCATATTCCTGGTAACCCCATAAATAAAAAAAAAACAATATCAGCATTACTTTCATTACTGTGGAAAATTAGTATTGTCATTTTCAAATGCTAGCATCAGGGATAGGCAATGATTACTGACAAATATAATGGATTAATAAGTCTAGCATCTTAAAACAAAAGGATTCTGTGCATACACACACATGGTATTTATTTCTTTTATTTCTAATAGGTGAAAGCAACAACATAGTTTACTTTGTGTATAATTGACATAGATATGTACACAATGTATTTAATGTCACATTTTATCATGATCTGTAGATGAAAAGTTTCATCTGTACTGAGGAATAGGGGATATGATTATCTCAAGACTTTTATTCTTTATAACATTAGCTTCTTCCTTTGAAGAAATAATCATGACAGCGCAATATTAAATTTTTATGGATACCCCAGATTGATTTGGCTTCTGGCTTTTCAAAAAATCTTTCATGATTCACAGATCAAAAATCTCTTGAAAACAGGTGACATGACGAATAGTGTGCAAATATTTCTATTTAGAAACTGATTTTTAATATTAATATTTTATTTTTTTTCAGCCAAACAGTTACCTCCACAAACGTAAGTATATAGAGTTAATTATCAACAAAAGAGGTTTTTTCAAGACTTGAGGAGAAACTTTTTACTCCTTCTAACTGAAGTTACTTTTTACATCTTTATTATGTCATGTTACAGAAGAAGGCCACAGTAATGAAAACAAAACACTTGAAAAGACAAAACACATACAGTCTAATGAATCATGAAAGGAAATGTGTTGTTTCAATGTTTTTTCATCTCTTTTTGTCATATTCTGCACAAAACTCTCAAGTCCAAATCATCTGTTTATCATAAGTTTTTCAAACAGAACGATTAAAAAAAAAGATATTCAGTTTCTTTCAAACACATGTTATTTTATACTAAAATCACAAAGCATGGATACAGTTTCCTGTTTTAAGTAATATAAAAGAAAAGAAATCGTATTTTTTAGGCGACACTCGGTGCGATTTGCAACCAACGACAAATACCAGACTGTAGCTTTTGAGTATCTAAGGTATTAACATTCCCTGCACACTAAAACCATTATATTGCTTGTTTGTTAGTCTTAGTATTACATATAGTTTACATTATTGGCTTGCAAGATGATTTATGTAATATTTTTATGAATATTCAAAAATGACATAAAAGTCTCTTGTGGAGAGTTGTCTCATCGGCAATCATACCACATCTTCTTTTTTATATAAAGAACTATTTTGAGTAGACTCTGGTGTCATCTGGTTTCAATTTTCAAATGTATTGTGCATGGTCCATTTTGATAAAGTTTTGTATTCATACAATGTATTTGTATAAATGAGCAGCTTCAGGAGACCCTATAGTTCTGTTAACCATGTTAACATCAGCTGGATGGGAAACATTACAAAAAAAATATTTGTTTTTGGTACTTTTGAATTTTAAAGTAAGAAAAACATGCATTGTTGGTCAAGCTTCTGCTAGAAAAGATTTTCACACCACCTGTCCGCTAAAAAAAAGAAAAATTTTATCAGATTGGACCGAAGTTACACAATTGAGATCCATATTAAAAGTTTGCTTAAAAGTCTTTATCAAAAATGGTTGCAAATATTTTCATTGTGAACCATCGACATCTGACTTTCAATCTTTCAATATGGATATAAAAACTTTCTCCAGACCTTAAAAATAAAGTGAAATATGTTTCATTTGTAGATCAACAAATCTAGCAGCAAACGGACATGCCATTCCTCCCCAGAAACCACCTCGAGGTTATGAAAACACAGGTATACAAGGATTAGATTTAGTTCAAACTCATGGAGCGCATGCTGGTGTTTCGTATATTAATCCATCTTATTCTCATGACGATTGTGAGTAGTTGATAGCTGCTTTACTATTACCTGTACTAACATTATATAACACACACGATCTAACATTCCCAATGCACTCATTGCTCTAGTGTAGTTTTATTCAATAATTCAAATGTCAGACACGATCATGAAGTTCAATCATGTATCTATAATATTTTTTTGTTATTGTGTTAATAAACCTCCATTGGAAAATACTAACAATTTTTCAGTGACAAATAACTATTTTGAAATGTTTGCAGTATTGTACAATGAATGAATTGTTTAAATAGTGAAAATCCTGAATGTACATTAAATATTTGCCTCTTGATGTTAAGCAACAATCAATCAAATAAAACTTTGATTTCTCTTTCACAAAAGATATATTTTATAAGCATGATTATCCTTTCACTGTACTGTAATTTGAGAAAGTGTGTAATACAGTTATCTCTCTCCAACTAAATGATTAAATTTCTAAGAATATTTGTGTATGCTACAGGAAGGCTTACTCATCTAAACAACTAAATTAAGATCACACATTTAAGATTTATAAGACCTTTTTTCGTCAGTTAGAATTAAATTAAGCACCTTCTTATTTAACTTAAAAGCGAGAACTTGAAACTAAATATAAAGATTGATTTTTAGAATTGATAATTGGCTTAAAAAAATAAGCAGCTTAATAGTGCACAAGTTTCTTCTATCTTCTCTGCCAGGATAAAGCAGTGCAGGATTTAATCTCAATTTTCTTGTATCAAAGATTTTCTTAGATGCCAATATTAAACATTGGTAGATTTCTTGATGTTAAACTGCCACCTAAAAAATCTCTAAAAAAACTTAATTATACTCTAGGCAAGCCATGGACCTTATATAAACTGTTGTGAAAATTATTTATCATTCAAGAGATCAATACATTTTGTCATATACATGAACCCAATTTCATTGCAAATGATGTATATTTCTTAAAAACCTTCATCATGTATACATGTTACAATTACCTTCAGTTAACCAATGCTGACTTTAGAACTTAAGCTACCAAAAAAGATTAAAAAAATCTACTCATCAGGGAGATTTACTGTTACTGAATAGCCAATAAAAAGTGCTTGAAATTGACAGATTTTTGGAAGAATGAAAATACCAAGTACAAACATAAACTACCTTTTGTTATACATGAAGAGTATCTTTGCACACAAATGTAAATTGCCCTTTACAACTTGCATGTATTTATATCTGAACCAGCATGGGGATATAAACATGAGGAGATATATACAATATACCTTTACTATTCCATATGCTAGCCAACATATTGCACCTGTATCAATCACTTTCTAATGGCACCAGTAATCATTTTCATTGTTTAAATTTGTTTATTGTAATTTGTTGTAAATAGAGTTTTCCAGTTAATGTTTAGATGAATGTTGTTGTTTATTTCATTTTATATTTATTTTTTCACCAGTTTTATACATTGTAATTATTGTTCTTCCATTATTTCTTTTCATTCATCAGATTAATAAGACTTTCATTAATGATTCAGTGATAGAAGATTCCAGAGTTACCTACCCTGTTACAGTATATCAACTTCCTCTTTGCATGATTTTCATAATTCTGTCCTACTGTTTTCAGATTCTGAAATGAACAGAAATGGTTACCCACCTTTCCCACGACATAATGGGAATGTCCCAATCGATCATGATTCGTCTTATGATCCAGAATATGAAAATGAAATGAATAGGCTCAATGCCAGTAAGTTTACAAATATTTGGACAATTACGCTATCAAAATAAGATTGCACTATAAATGTATATTAAGCACAATGATTTTAATTAACATATCTATATTTAATAAAAGCAGGATATATTTGGCCATTATTTAGATAAATAAAGATACGGAAAAAACATTAAAAAAAAAGTTTTTTTTTTTAAAGTATTTTGGTGGTTTTACCCATTCAAGATTTAACCAATTAAGTATTTTAATTTAGATCAGGTTCCAAGATTTGGTAGCGATTTTGAGGAACAAGGCAAGAATACTTTAAATTTTATTTGGTTCTACAAGTGAACTGGTATAAGGGGTCACTTGATGGTTTATAAAGGGTCACCTTGATGGTTTCAGTTTTGGTTGCACTTTGCCCAGAATTCTGTTCTTATTATTTGCAAATAGCCTAAAAAATAAATGAAATAAAAAGGTATAGTTGTTTTTATAGCCACAATGCTTAGGTCATATTTAATGTAGAATAGAACATGAAATTTAGAAAAATAAGAATGTTTTTTGTTAATGTTAGTTCACTGCTTGATTGTTTTTAGTTTTTGTCTTAAAATCATTTCATTATCACCTGATAAATGTTTCACACACCATATATGGTATATGTTCACACCTTTGTATATCTATTTTATCCACCATGTACACATCTTTTGACATTCTTCTTCATATACTCCATGTCATTTACATCTACTATACACAAAGGAAATGTGTGGATTTCAGACCTCAAACTAAACATCAATGTATTTATGTGTGAAGCTTCTACTGGGAAAGTACTATTATTCGTTGATCGGTGGTCATTGGAAAGATCATTTGTGCTTGTGGAATTTTGTATTTGAATTCATAGACTTTATACATAAGAAATGAAAGGAAAAAAATAATTTTATTGAAATTCAAAATCAATGATTAATAATGGAATACATATTATTGACATCATTATAAAACAAATTGTGCAATTGGATGGCAAAAAAAATATTTGATATTATTGACATCATCATAAAACAAATTGTGCAATTGGATGGCAAAAAAAATATTCTATATAAGTATGACAACTTTTCAAGATATATCCTGTCTTAACCTGTCTGAATTTTCTGAAGTTATTTGCTTCAACTGGAATACACAATTGTTTAGCTGATCTCTTGTTTTAATTAGTTTTAAATTCCACATCCCTTCACCTTGATAGAAGACATCACAATACTCATTTTGAGTAATAGTAGCTAGCCATTAGAGAAGAAACAGTAAAAAAAAAAGATTCATAAATTTCAAAGTTGTTTGAAAAAGGACATAGAATTTTATCAAATTTAGATAAGGCCCTACTTTGTTTCTTCGGAAGTTATTTTAAGAATTGCTGACTTTACTCACAGTTTTGATAATAAAATGTTTTGCTGTGATTTCAATGACTGTGATACATTTCTTTGTGTCCACACTTTTGCTCTATGCTTTGGTTTGTTGTGTGTTGGAGTACTGACATTTTGCGGTATTTAGTTTAGGTTTCTGTGTCATTTCCATCTACTCCACAAGTTTTATTTTCATATCCATATTTTAATACAAAAACTGTTCATATTAATATTCAGTCATTCATGAGACATCATATATATAACATGTTTTAGAATGGCAGATTATATATGCTTTGTTGAAGTGTAAATAATTATACTAACCTTTAACTTTCTTCATTTTCAGATAAGTCCAATTATTTTAATGAAAAGCAAGCAGGTAAGAAACATATGAAAAGTAAAAATGGTAACAGTATAAAACATGGTAATAAAAAAGACAGAAATTGTGTCTATTAAAAGCACAAACAGAACAAAAATAGCTTCAATAAAAAAGAGACATAGAAAAAATACAGTTTACGGATGTCTGTAAAATACAGATAAAGAAACAGTAAAACTTTTTTTTTAAATTTTGAAAATTAAATTCACCTAATAACAAGCTGGTTACTGGCTATATAGTCGTCTACTTCACAATTTGGTCATCGATTTTTATGTGAATCATGAAAGTTATCAATAAAAACCTACCTATGATATACCTCCTGCCTTCTACTTTCTAAAATCAGTCTGCTTATTAAATATTTCTGGGGGAAAACTTAACAATACAAATATGCAAATCAGACCTGTTAAGTCAGAAAACCTATAAATACATTCTTCATTTCTGGAGGATTGAGCTATATATACAGGTCTCATAGTAATGTGACAGAACAAACAAAAAATATAACAAAAATGAGAAAAAGTAAAACTGAGGTAAGGGTAATACTCAACTCAAAAACTCGTCATTTTTTCAAACTAAGCTGTCTAAAGATATTACAAACAAAAACATGTTTTTCTTAATGTCAGTGATGCATGGTAAATTTGTTTCTTAGCTGGCTCATTCTACAGTGTTTATACAAAAGATTTTTGTACAGGGTTTACAAGAAATTAGTAATCTTTTAAAGTAACAATCATTTGATAACCATATAACCTTTCTTTTTCAGACATTTCATTTACTGGTTCACCAAGATCACCAATTAAAGAAAAACAATATATAGATATGTCTTCAGAACATAGAAAAGGAGATTTAATCAATGGACAAGAAAGTGGATATAATACTCCTGATAACCCAAAACCACCAAAAAAGGTTATTTATGAAGTTGTTGTATAAATTGTCTCCCTTGACTGATGTTGTTCGTTTTATGCAACACTTCAACATGTCTTCTTCAGATGTTTTCATCCATGACCTTTTAACCTTTGTGCTTTATATTTTCGGTTATTTCTAGGCATGGATTTGTGTGCTAATATCCGTAACTTTTATGGATAGAAAAACCATTTCTGTAATGTTGTGATTGCCGATTTAACTGTTGTTTGCACAATTGACTGGTCAATTTCCATACTTGCTAATGGAAAAGATGGAAAGAAAAATGGATGAGAAATGGTTCAAGTAAGAAAATGCACATTGCATGAATGTGTTGTTACTCTTCCTGAAGAAGTGCAATGGATGACTGAATTAAGCTTTTAAAAAGTGCAATTAAAATACAATAATAGGGAGAAATGGTGATCTCCTGAAGGAAAAATACATTGATACGCAATAACTTCCTACATTATGGAGAAAACAAATATGCATACTTTTCAGGTGAAAAAAACTTCATTACATGATTGCCTCATTTGCCATTTTCATCATATGACTTCATTTGTATACATCATGAATCATGTGACTTATGCATAGAACTATTCTGCACAAAATGAATCCAAAGGATTGTATTGGTGCTTTTGTATATGGAGATTATAAATGCAGTGGATGAAAATGTAAGAGGTCTGTTGCTGTATGAATATTTTCTGGTGCTTAGCATAAATAATGACGAAACATTTTAGTTTTTTAGTTTATTTGGAATGTTTTTGTACTTCAGCATCTGTCTCTTATAAAAACTATTTGGCTTTTCTTTTTAAACTTAATAGTTTTGCATAATGGCTTAAAATGTTTAAATGTTCTATAGTCATAAAGTAGTATTTTTTGCTCACATTCAAGCATAATTTTGACATTTTTTGGCAGGGATTATCAGTTAAACCAATTTAAAAAAAAAAAATTTGTTGCGATTATCTCGCACGATTATCTCACACTTTTGAAATATTTCAATGATTTCTTTACTTATGTTCCAATAAGGGTTTTAAATAAATTATTAATGACCATTTATATCAAAATGTTTGTATAAACAAACGTCCATTTTTTCATCAAGATCAAAATATTTTTATGACTTGTTGTTGTCTGTATGTAATATGTGGTTATGAATGAATGAATGGATGAATGAATGTAGAGTTTTGATCAGAAAGGGCTTTAAAAGCATGAGAAACAATTATGCATGTATGTGAACTAGATTATTTTTGATAAAACAATGTTGAAAACACAAGTCCCAAAAAGAAAAATATTTTGAATATAAACTTTCTACTGATAAGATCTACAACTTTTTATCCCAATCTAGTTATTTGGGAAGAAAACTATGTAATGTTCCTTTTGTCAATGGACCAAGTAGAAAAAAATTAGTTGTTGCCCTTAGTTATTTGGAAAGGGAGATAAATAAATGATTATAAAATCTTTACTTTGAAGAATGATGAACATTTAAAAGTTACATCCCTTTATCTTGTCCATTAGGGGAGATAGTAAATAGCCTCCTTACAGTTCTAATTGCAAAAAATGAAAAATTTCAACTTGGAAAGTCGCTTCAAAAAGCAACAGACATGTGATTCATATATCTTCTGTTTTCTAAAACATTTATCCATACCCATCAGAAACATACTTTTGGATTTATCTCCCTTTCAATGTTCACGTAACTTCCAAACAAAAAAGGTTTAAGACATGAATTACTTGCAGCAAACTGTAATTGATGTGTTTTTAACTCAATTCAAAAGGCATTTATTATAGAGTAAATGTATGAGTTGAATATGTGCGAGATAAATGCCATATTGTATAAATGATTGTTAATTTAATTAGAATAATGATAAATAGTTAGAGTAATTAGCAAATATCAAAATAAGTTATTTTTCCCAACTTAACTATAACTAAGTATTAACCCTGATATTGTAAAAGGAAAGATACTATAAAATCTTAAACAGCTAAAGAATCTAGTTTATAAACTAATATTTATTTCGAATATTTTGTTAACAAAACATAATGTGAATTAAAGTTTTAATTAATTTAATTGTAATTTAATAAAGTTGGTATGTTAAGATTTTTATTTATGAAATATTCGTTCAATTTTTACCAGTTTTAAATGTTAACAATGTTTTATTAAGGTTAAATTTCGTGTTCTTAATTACAATTGTTACTTTGTTCCCAATTGTTTTGGAAAGAAGTATTTGGATCATCACATAAAGTGCATGAGTTTTATATATTGTATTATGTAGCATATGTATTATAAATTTTTATATGAAACATTTGTTGAGAAAAAAATAAAGATATATATATTACTATTTCCTGTGATGTATTCTCAAGCTGAGTTCTTCTCGTCACTTAGCATCCTTTGTCACCATCTGTTACGGAAATAGAGCATAATTGTTGGGAATCTTTTTACTTCTTGAAAAAGATTGAAGCATGCTCTCAATGGTTTTTTTTAGTTAAATATTTTGTTTCTGTGTTGAGTTAAATGTTTTATTTCTGTATGATCATTTACAAACATGGAAGTTTTGCATGATTTCTGCCTTTTCAATTCTTACACCAAGATATCTGATTATTTGTAACAGTGGCTGAAAATATCATATTTAATAGCATCATCAACCTTCAAAGAAAACAAAAAAATGACATCATTTGTAAATTAGAAAAGCAGAATATTGATGAGAGCTTGAATGGAATTTACCAAACAGGGAACAATGGCTGTTATAACTACTGAATAGAGAATAATTTGGTAAAAAAAATTCTAAAATAGACAAATGATGGCTATGCCCAATGATTTCAGAAAAGGAGACTCATCCTAAGGAATTGGTCATCCTAAATATGCATGAAATATTTACTACTGGATGTTCTATCAATCAAAAATCCATGAACTGTTAGGAATTGGTCCTATAATTAATCATATAATGACTAAGATATTGGAACTTAATCTGTACACTTCACATTTACCTGTCAAACTTTGGATGAAGCATACAGTTTGTATACTAGAAGAAACTCTATCTATACATCTGAATAATGATATTTTAGCAAATTCCAAATTTGTGAATATTTTCTTATATGACCACAATGTTTGATATAATTGTACAGGTATCTTGATTGTGATATAATGGTACAGGTATCTTGATTGTGATATAATGGTACAGGTATCTTGATTATGATATAATGGTAAAGGAATCTTGGTTGTGATATAATGGTACAGGTATCTTGGTTGTGATAAAATGGTACAGGTATCTTGATTGTGATATAATGGTACAGGTATCTTGATTGTGATATAATGGTACAGGTATCCTTGTTGTGATATAATGTTACAAGTATCTTGGTTGTGATATAATGGTACAGGTATCTTGATTGTGATATAATGGTACAGGTATCTTGAATATGATATAATGGTACAGGTATCTTGGTTGTGATATAATGGTAAATGAATCTTGGTTGTGATATAATGGTACAGGTATCTTGATTGTCACCATCAGAAAAAAAGCTTCAATTTAAACCAGATTTATTAAGATAATTGTTCTAGAACATATTGTTTAACTAAGTGGTGCTATTTATGTCAACTTGTTTTAAACCCTGCAAGTTTTGATGCTCCTGTTAGATTTTTATACGACCGCAAAAAGATTTTGTGGTCGTATATTGGTATGACATTGGCGTCGTTGTAGTCGTCCGTTGTCGACGTCTGAAGACACATTGGTTTTCGCACTCTAACTTTAGTTTAAGTGAATGGATCTCTATGAAATTTTACCATAAGGTTCAATACCACAAAAGGAAGGTTGGGATTGATTTTGGGGGTTATGGTACCAACAGTTAAGGAATTAGGGGCCAAAAATAACTTCCAGACATAACTTGTGAGTTAGTGTATGGATCTCTCTGACATTGTACCACAAGGTTCCATATCACAAAGGTAAGGCTGGGATTTATTTTGGGGGTAATTGCCTCAAAATTTTACGAATTAGGGGCCAAAAAAGGGGCAAAAAACAAGCATTTTTCTAGTTTCATGATAATAACTTGTGTGTAAGTGTATGGATCTTTCTGAAAGTGTACTACAAGGTTCCATATCACAAAGGGAAAGCTGGGTTTGAGTTTGGGGGTAATTGCCCAAAATGTTTAGGAAAAAGGGGCCAAAAAGGGACCAAAAATAAGCATTTTTCTAGTTTCCAGACAATAACTTGTGTTCAAGTGTATTGATCTCTCTGAAATTGTACTGCAAGGTACCACACCACAAAGGGAAGTCTGGGATTGATTTTGGGGGTAATTGCCTCAAAATTTTAGGAATTAGGGGCCAAAAAGGGTCAAAAACAAGCATTTTTCTAGTTTCATGACAATAACTTGTGTGTAAGTGTATGGATCTTTATGAAATTGTACTACAAGGTTCCATATCACAAAGGGAAAGCTAGGTTTGAGTTTGGAGGTAATTGCTCTAAACGTTTAAGAATTTGGGGCCAAAAAGGGATCTAAAAACAAGCATTTTTCTAGTTACCAGACAATAACTTGTGTTCAAGTGTATGGATCTCTCTGAAATTGTACTGCAATGTACCATACCACAAAGGGAAGGCTGGGATTGAGTTTGGGAGTGATGAATCATAAGGGGGTTCAAAAAATTTGGGGGAGGGATTTTTTTTTCCTTTTTTTCCTTTTTTTTTCTTTAGAATTTTCCATTTTAAATTGGTTATTTCTGATTTATATATAAAAGCAAATAATAATGATATGGTTTGAATAGGTAAATTAAATTTTTTTAAGTTCTTAGACCACATTCATTCTGTGTCAGAAACCTATGCTGTGTCAAATATTTAATCACAAGCCAAATTCAGTGCTGTATCAAGCTTGAATGTTGTGTCCATACTTGCCCCAACTGTTCAGGGTTCGACCTCTGCGGTCGTATCAAGCTGCGCCCAGCGGAGCATTTTATTCTCCAATAAATCACACTTGTGGCCGACAAAGATCTCACTGGATAAAATGAAAAAAAGATATATATCCTTTCTTACTGTTCCCCACCCATTTGATGGATTTAAATATTCGTTATACCCATTTAAAGTGTACCTTTTGACTATCTCATCTTTATTTTATTTTTCTCTGACATTTCTGCTACGCACAAGTCGTCAAAAAGATGGTTTAAAATTGCCAGTCCGCTTCACCAACCAACATACAGTGTACCATTAATCATGATATGGGTTTGGGTTATAGTTTCGTCCGATCGAACAATTTGAGACCCATAGCTAGCTAGGATCGTCAATCAGTGCTGCACTTATAGATAAGTGTCAGCAGTTTCCAAGCAAAAGAAAATCTCCGTACACATTATACAAAGAGACATACGATGTCAAATCCAAACAGAGCATACATAGTACCATTATACATGTCGAAAGGAATTACAAACCAAAAATAGAAAGTCCAAAATAACTCGAAAAAATATAGATCTCTGCTTGTGAAAATAGATACAGCATCAATAAATAAATTAAATTCTTATTCTGTATTTAGATTTTGGATGTTGGACCATAAAAGGTAAAAGTTTAATTTCAAAATTTTCAGCTCTTTGACCACATTCATTCTGTGTCAGAATTCTATGTTGTGTCAAATATTCAATCACAATCCAAATTCAGAGCTGTATCAAACTTGAATGTAGTGTCCATACTTAAAATTAAAATTTGCCAGTCAGCTATACCATGGAAGTATTATATTGACAGGAATGAAAACAACGCCAGATCAAAGGTTTCATCTGCATTAACGCCTGTCCTCCGATTACTCCTTAATTGGGTTAAGATATGGAATGGTAATTGATTCATTTTCCTTCCATCGCCATACCAACCAACATTCAGTGTACCAATAATCATGATATGGGTTTGAGTTATATTTTCGTCCGCTTGAACAGGTTGAGACCCTTTAGTTAGCGAGAATCGTCAACAAAGGCTCCATTTGAAGATAAGTGTCAGCAAAAAAAAATATCTCCGTACAGATTTTTTTTTTATGCAAAGAGACATACGTTAATTAATCCAAACAGAAACATATATAGTACCCGTAATACATGTTGATAGCAATTACTTAAAAATAGAATGTTTAAAATAACTTGAAAATCATGTCTCTTGAAATAAGTGTGAAAATATCATAAAAGTTCAATAAGTTGTAAAATATTCTGTTTCCCTATATATTGCACAGATTATATATATATATATATAACAATCTTATTTCCTTTTAAAAAAGGGAAAGGGCATTATTGGGTGGATTCCATTCAAAACGCTGCAAAATCCTGCCATTTATAATTTGCCATTCAAACCATAAACTGCAAGAAACCCCCTTTGGAATCACATTTAGAAAAAAGTTTCCCCGTTCTCGTTTCAACAAAATCGCCTCTATATAGCTTAGGGAATCTGATATATGACTGCTTGATGGGTCCTGTGGCAATCTCTTATCAATGCATATTCACAAAGAATAGGAACAGTAACAATTTTGTTTCGAAATTATTTGTTCTTGAAGTAGAGGAGAGTTAACAAAACTCTTAAACATCTTTAATCAGTTGTAACATAACATAATATCAATTAAAGTATAAAATCCACAACGATGATTGAGAACGGAGTAGTTGCTGGTCGGTGACATTCTCGATACTATTTTATTACAATTCTGAAATAAGATATTGGTCAAGACTTGTTCTATTCTCCCAAGTAACTCAGTTTGAAAATTATAAATAGTATTTTTTTTATTGTTTCAGACAAAAGTTAAAGAATTCGAGGCCAAGCTGAATAGTTCAAATTATTATTTTTCCGACAGTGTACCTTTTGCACATGACCCACCAGGGCATAATTGTGGATTGCCATGTTGCAATCGTGACCTGCACATCCATTTGAAATTAACAGGAGTTCACGGTGGATGCATGTCATTGATGCCATTTCAACCAAAACCAGAAAAGCAAGATAATTTTTCATTTCACCAAAAGAGAGGTGGACTAATTTCTGGTCGACCAACATTTTCCAAGAAATTTAGTTCATTACAACCGGAAAGAAAAAGTCAAAGACGCAAACCATTACCAGGATTCGGTAGTTTACGCGAGACAGATGTACCTTCTAAACGACTGTACGAACTTTCTGGGAAACAACATCATTACTTAAAAGAAAGAGGCATTACACTTCCCAGAATGCACATTGGCGAAACGTCAACTGACACGGGTCGTATCTGGCAGGGTGACATAGAAGACAGCAGTGAATCTTCAGATTCTGAAACAGATTATTACACAATCTGGGAATGCAACGGAATGGATTCAGAAATTCTAATGAAATCCCCAAGTGCCTTAAAGAATACGGAAAAGATTTACCCATGG